TATATCATGTTAGTTTGTACAGCATCTATTGTCATACAACAGTATGACTTTCCGTACCCAACGACCTATATATATATATATATGGGCTGTCAAAGTGATTAAAAAAAATTTAATCGCGATTAAACGCGCAATTAAAAAAATTGTGATTAATTGCGTTGTTAAATAATAATGGAATACCATTTATTTAAATATTTTTGGATGTTTTCTACATTTTCAAATATATTGATTTCAATTACAATACAGAATACGAAGTGTATAGTGGTCACTTTATATTTATTTTTTATTACAAATATTTGCACTGTGAAAAAAATAAATAGTATTTTTCACTTCACCTCATACAAATACTGTAGTGCAATCTCTTTATCATGAAAGTTGAACTTACAAATGTAGAATTATGTACAAAAAATAACTGCACTGAAAAATAAAACAATGTAAAACTTTAGAGCCTACAAGTCCACTCTGTCTGAGCGATCGGCTGAAGTAGGACTAACAAACTTGGTTACAATTTGCAGGAGAGAATGCTGCCCATTTCATGTTTACAATGTCACCTGAAAGTGAGAACAGGCATTTGCATGGCACTTTTGTAGCCGGCGTCACAAGATATTCACGTGCCAGATGCGCTAAAGATTCATATGTCTCTTCAACTTCAACCACCATTCCAGAGGACATGTGTCCATGCTGATGATGTGTTCTGCTCGATAATGATCCAAAGCAGAACGGACCGATTCATGTTCATTTTCATCATCTGAGTCAGATGCTACCAGCAGAAGGTTGATTTTCTTTTTTGTTGGTATGGGTTCTGTAGTTTCCGCATCTGAGTGTTGCTCTTTTAAGACTTCTAAAAGCATGAGCCATACCTCGTACATCTCAGATTTTGGAAGGCACTTCTGATTCTTAAACCTTGGGTCAAGTGCTGTAGCTATTTTTAGAAATCTCACATTGGTATCTTCTTTGCGTTTTGTCTGCTACGAAGTGTTCTTAAAACAAACATGTGCTGGGTCATCATCCGAGACTGCTATAACATGAAATATATGGCAGAATGCAGGTAAAACAGAGCCAAAGACATACAGTTCTCCCCCAAGGAGTTCAGTCACAAATTTAATTAATGCATTATTTTTTAACAAGCATCATCAGCATGGAAGCATGTCTTCTGGAATGGTGGCTGAAGCATGAAGGGCCATACGAATTTTTTTTGAGAGCAGTTATGTAACAAAACAACAAAAATATCTACATTTGTAAGTTGAACTTTCATGATAAAGAGATTGCACTACAGTACTTGTATGAGGTGAATTGAAAAATACTATTTCTTTTATCAATTTTACAGTGCAAATATTTGTAATAAAAATAATAATATAAAATGAGCACTATACATTTTGTATTCTGTGTTGTAATAGAAATCAATATATTTGAAAATGGAGAAAAACATCCAAAAATATTTAATAAATTTAAATTGGTTTTTTCTTAACAGTGAGATAAATTGCGATTAATTTTTTTATCACGATTAATTTTTTATATGTATTAAAAAAACAGCTTAGCATAGATAAGTCACTAGTCAATGCACAGTCTCAGTCCAGAACTCTCACAATAAATATCTTGTTTAATAAAAATAAAATACCTTACAAGAATTTAATTTTAAGGAGAAACTTTTTCATGAACATTCAACACATTTCCAACTAGAGTCAGATACTTACTTCTCATTACATAGTTTAACTGTACACAGCCAATACTTGGTGTTCATGGTTGTAAGTGAATTGCCTTTTTCTTGCAAAACTCCCTCTAGGATATGCCCATGAAAACAATTCCCATCTGTGTTTTCTTCAGCCCAATTTAACTGGAAACTTGAAGGGCTTTGCTTTTCAGCAACTTGCATTGAACCAGACAGTGCGCCAAACTGTCTTTGTAAGTTCACTACCATTTCTGTACAAAGAGAAACAAAAACCTAAGCCACAATGTCTCATCACATTTTCCCACAGAGTTTACCTTTCTACACGGAACATTAAAATTCTGTTTTAAAAAAGTAATTTGAATTTGTGCTTTTTCCTACCCCTGCATGATATATAGAGAAAGCCTGAAACGTTTATTTTTCTTCTTCTTCTTCCTTTTTACATTTGAAGTTCAAGTCAGTCTATTCTAAAAACCTCTATGGTGACTGGAACTATTATTAAAGTTATGACCCCATGTACGTAAAAAGACTGAAAGTTATAGAGGACCTGAGAGGAGAAGTAATTTTAAATCAGATTGTTTAGAGGTCTTTTTAAAAAACATATTAAACTCCATTTTCTATTGAACATTTTGAAGAAAGGATGTTTTAAGAATTCAAACACCATTACCCCACCAGTTATGCTATCAGAGCCCACAACACATGCTCAGACTCCCAAGAGGTACTCCAGCAAAAAAAGTGAAGACCAAACAGACTTTCCCAATACCTTTACAATAAAAATCCTGTAAAAAGAAAGCTTAAAAAACACAGGCTGTCTTTATACATAATAAAATAGCATAAAAAGGGCAAAAGTTCAATTACTAAAAAATCCATTTCAAGTCTCTTGTAATATAAACAATGTATTCTGGTACTCTCATTCTAAATCCCTTTGATAAACAAAAACTTGAACAGGGAAAAAAGACAAGAAAATATTAGTATTGTATTGCTCACATTGTTGGCTAAATGAAATTATACTCACGCCTTTTCTTAAGAACTACAGATTTTTCCTTGGCTGAGTAGAATAGTGGTTTTTCACATTTCCACAGACACCTATCAGTGAAAGAAATACAACCTGGTGAAAAAATAAAAACCAGCACAACCATAGCCAAACAAACAAGAAAAGGCAGTCATTTCTCAGGATTGTTATTACAAGTATCCAATGTTTTAGGAATAACCTCAAGTTGGTAAGTGCCCAGTACCATTATTCCCCACCATGCATAAGAGAAGTCTCTCTTCTGTGGGGGTAGAAGAAGTGCTCTTCATCAATTTTTCACCATTTATTGTAATCAGTTTTGATAGCTTTAGTAATTCAGTCACTGGTCACAGAGAGTTTCCATTTAATTAATATGTCAGGCCAAAGTTCTAAGCATGACGGGAGAAAGAGCATAAGGATTTATTAATTTGCTTTACTCCTCCAAGCTCATGCGACAGAAATAAGGGTGAAATCCTGGCCCCACTGAAGTCACTGAGGCTAGGATTTCACCCCAGATGTTCAACCTCAAAAAAAGTGAGGTACTGAACAATAGCATACCGGGCTCTTTCTTCATCTAATTTCTTCTGTTCCACATCCACAGACTTCTTCATAATCTTGTACCACTTTTTGAAATCAAACCACAGGCAGCCTGAAGTAAAATCCAAAATTTAGTTTTAGGAAAAGTGATAGAGCACAATAAAATACAGAATGTTCGAAAGATAGCAGCAGTTAGACCCTGAGCTTTCTTTTTAAACAGGTATATTGCATATCCTAGACTCTAGATGCCTTAAAAAATAAATCAAACAAAGCAGCAGGCAGTGAAGAAACCTATAGGATACCATCAGGGATGTGCAGGAGCCAAATAAGTGGGAGTGAATTGTGTGTCTTTAGCTCAGCTCATATAAACACCTTACACTTCTTTGGTTTTCACTCTTTGGCCCTTACCCTGCTGCTAAGAATAGCAGGAGTTAATAAGGCATTTTTCTCCCTAAGCTCCATGATTCATCCTTAAAGAGGTGGTTTGATTTAGATTTAACCCTCCCTCTCTAGAGAATAAACCTTTCACCTTTGCAACATGAATTGGCCTCCATACATATGGAATGTGAACTATTCAAAGGAATAATGAAGGTTGACAGGTCAAGAATTTTAGCTACTTTTAAAGTATTCTTTTTAATTCTTTTTTTAAAGTATTCATGGGATTCTGAAAAGTTTAATCAGCTCCCAAAACCATGAAAAATAGCCTTCTCTGCTAGGCATCCTGCAAACAAAATGCCAACCCATATTCCTCCTGCCCCTCCAAAACTCCAATGTCATATCATCCTTCCATATTTATGATTAAATAGAGTAATGAAACATATAGCACTAAAAAACCCCAAAACCCCTGTTCTGTGATTTGAGAATAAGTACCTCTCAATTTATGCCTGAACTGTACCACATATACATTTAAGCAACATACCTAGCACCTACTGTCCCATGACAAGAGGCGTATGACTTTAGTAAATAAGCATTGTACAGTAATTTTAAGGATTCCAAACAGAACCAAGGTGAGGAGTATATTTCAAATAAAACATGCTTAAATAACTAATTTTTGAACTTACAAGGTATTGTTTACTCCAAAAAGCAGTGATGTGTATATTCCATGAAGAACAAAATATACATGATATAGCCAAAACTTTTGAGTTGAATTCAAAGAATGCAAGAGCAGAAATAACAGAAGCTATTAAAACTTTAAATATTTTTCAGAAAATAAAGTGGAAATGTTTTAAATTTCTATCTAGTCTTGCCCAACATTACAAATTAACAGTTCATACTGCAAATGTACATGCTAATGCAGATCCAACAACCCTGCAAATGGGCTTCTAGATTTTTAAATTTACCCCAAAGGAGTAATTGATGCACCATAAAAAAATTGATGAAAGCCAAACCCCCTCCCCCCCCCAAAAAAAACTCCCCCGAACCCGACATTCTTAGGGTTAATAAGTCCACGCCCTACTTAGTTTAATTACAAAATTTCATTTTAAAAATTATATTAGATTCTTTCCACTGACATACCTTCTTTGTTCTTTTGATTTCTTTTTCCAGCAAAGTTTGCATTTAACCTGAAAATATATATATTTATCAGATGGATTGTTTTTTGGAATCATACTTTCCACTTCTGAAACTTTCAAAAAAATGTATTTAAAACAAAACCACTGACACCAAAAATTCCACCCATTTTATCCTTAATCCTATCTTTAAAACAATCAGATTTGGTTATCAATGTAGTCACCTGAGACGTGAACTATTGCTTACTTTTAAACTAAAATTATTAGTTAGCTAAAGGTACAGTAGCATTAAATAATAGATCATGAGTTATAGCAAGAAACTGACATTGCCTATTATTGAATCTGCTTTCCATTCTTTGGGCCTGAGTTAGCGGTTTAAAAAAAGTTTTAGTGCAACGTTAGAAAATTTGGGCCCTTCTGACGTGAAAGTTTGCTCATAAAACATACTTACCATTCATACTGATCATCTAGTAAAAATAGTAATTTGAGCACCACTATAATGATGGCTGCAGCAAGAACATCATATTTTACTTTCCTTGCTGATTTATTCACAGGATCAAGTGTCAGAAAGTCTGTTTCTCCAACATTGATCTTTTTTACCACTCTGCAAGTCCAATTGTGCAATTCATCTAATTAAGAAAAAAAGTAAAGTAAAATATTGTTAAATAAGCTGTACAGACATGCTAAATATGCCGGTTAGCAATATGCCAGTTTCTAACACCTTATAAATACACAGATTTTTTAAAATACAACTTTTTACCAATATTAACTAAATTAACCCTCAGAACACTCCTATGAGGTAGGCCAGTATGATTTAAAATATATACTATGAAATAGGGAAGAAAAATTACACTGAATAAAATACTCATTGGACCCTTTGGATGGAATAATGATGTTGCTAGGCCACCCTGGTCATACCCTAGGTATGGCAGATCTTAAATACATGTTGTACAATCTTTAACTTGCAGGATCAGGGTCTAACTTTACTACTTCAAGTAGCCCTGTAGCTTTAAATAGGACTACTCCCAGTAATAAAACTAAATGTGTGTGTAAGTGATTGCAGAAACAAGGCCTGAAGTGACACAGTTTAAAGTTTATAATGCTAATCTTAACTACTCTTTGTTTAAACCACAAAAGGAAAGAAATTCAGAGACATCAATATTATTCCAACATCAGTTGTACTGCATCGGAACTGTCCAATATTACTGTATATTTATTTTCACTGGTGCAAAATCCCCACATTTCTTACCTTTCCAGTTTAGCAAGAAACTCAGGAACTGATTACATCATCAGATTCCAAAAAGATTAGCAATATCTTGCTATATTCTGACTGCGTACATCAGTTCAGCTATACTTTCTATTCCCACAACAGCTATTGCTTGTAAGATGTTAAATTAGTACAAGACCTGATCCATAATTTTCCAATTGTCACCCTCATACACAACACTAAACACACAACAGAGAATATGCATCAAACCACTACAATCCCTGAAAATAAAATGTTACCAACAATAGCAACTCTTACACAAGAAAGTTTCAATATGTTTAAATAGTGAATATTAAAAGAAAAAATGACTTCTCATAATTCCACACTGTCCCAAGGGGATATTATCAATTCACTGTAGCCTACATCACATAATATATTCCCAGCCAGCCCCCTCCCCTTTTTTTTAAGGTTTTTATTAAGGCAAAGTTACAATAAAACGTTAACATACTACAGCATACATTACTTATTCAGGATCAGATTAATATCCAAAGAACCTGACTAAAGCTTCTGGATTCCAGGTTGGAAAGCCCTCCCTCCTCTGAGAAAGCTAGAAATGGTAACCACTTTTTTAAATAACTATCATCTTTTTGGTGATTCTCTTGGTACAACAGCTTTTCCATTACAAGGACAATCCATATTTTACTATACCACAATTCCAAAGGAGGAAGGATCACCTATTTCCAGTAATGTGCAACACAAAGTCTAGCTGCTAACAATAAAAATATATTTTGTCATTTTGTTTAAATGTAGATCCTTTCCTGGAGCAATAAGTAAGCAGATCAGGGGATTTCTAACAAGTTGGTATTCTGTCATAGAATCAATGTCTTTAATAATTTCCTCCCAAAACAGTCTAATTCCTGGACACAATCACATGTGCAAGTATTTTCCCCTTCCCCTGCAACCCCTCTAACACAGCACTTTCCTAGTAACAAATACAGGATGGATCTTAATTGGAGTCAAATGCCAGCTACACAGTAATTTATACAAATTTTCTTTATGAGCTACACAAATTGAAGATATATATCCCTTTTCCCTTACAGAGACACAGTCATCCAGATCAATTTCTTTGTCCAAATCCCTCTCCCATCCTGTTATTCCTTTTTCAGATAGTCACAAATTTTTTATGTTAAGTTTTATTGTAGATTCCATTTGTTGTTCCTTTGTAACTATTCTTCTTTTGTAATAATTTTAAAAGGTCTGACAACTCTGAATTTCTTTGTAGTAAGTCTGAAAACTGCAGACCTACAGACCATCCTCAATTCACTTAGTTGATATTTCAAGATTTCAAAATTATGTGATGTTATATATAGTGCAAAGCTACACAGGCACAGAATGATTAAAAGATGGAATGTCCAGTCTGGAATTTTAGCCCTAAATGTGAGGTTTCTTCTTTTTACACTTTCAAATGTGACCTTAAATAAGAATTGTAAGCTCACACGGTGAGAAGAATTGTTGTATACTCATAAAATATCTGATATGTATGAAAAAAATAAATTACCATTTCTAAATTATTTGGTGAAATCAGCCATCTTGACTAACTGGGACATTTGTGATACCTGCAGCATAGAAGCTCAATATATATAGCATATATACTAGTTTCTATAGTCATTTGTTAGACAATCTTGAATGTTTACTATTTAAACAAAAAAACATGAAATGTTTACATAGCACTAATACTGATGTTAACTCAGAAATCAGGCAAGTCAGAAACTGGTTTACAGTCCCTGACACCGTGACCCCAGAGAACTAGAATCACAAGGTACTTTTCATTTCAGTTTGTAAATACTGAGAAATCTCCAGCTGAGCTTCAGATAATTGTATAGAGAAAAATGGGATTATTTCTTTCAATTTCTGTGATCAGATTTTATATATTTTAATATAACTTCAACTGAAAACTTACTGAAATTAGTTACAGCTTGCATAGAAAATAAGAGTCTCAAAAGTCACTTTTAAAAATGAATACTAGCTATTCAAATGTATGTCAAAACATGTTTACATTGAGATTAAAGCAACAGAAGCAATTGCAATATGAACTCCATGATTTCCACTTTAAACTCTGTTTTTAGGAAGTGTCCCCCAACTACAGTGGCACTCAAGAACAACCTTATAAAAATTCATGTATACAATGAACATCAGCTCTCATGAAATTAAAAATGAGTACCACACATAGGGCTTGATCCTGCAAAGTGCTCTCCTCCAACCCAGCAAAGTACTTAACCACATGCTTAACTTTAAGAATATGAACAGTCCTAAGGACGATTGGCAGGACTATTTACATGCTTAAAGTAAGCACATTGTTAAGCACTTTGCTGGGTCGGGGTCAGGGTGCTCAGAGCCTTGCAGGATCAAGCCCATAATGTTTCAATGTTCAGACAACTTACTACATTATTTCTGTAGTAATTATCTTCGGGGTTCCATATCTAAATGTTAAGAAACTTAGAAGGAAGAGGGGAAGCACTGTCATAACGGTATGATAAGGCTAGTATGTGAATAGTTCATCAGTTCCTTTGCTAGAGAGCCTTAGCAGATTTATAGAATGCAAAAATCAAGATTTAATTAGACGGTAAGTTTTAGAGAGTATTTACCAGGTAAGTTGGCTTCCATCAGATATTTAATGCACAAGATGTTTGGATGAAGAAAGCAGCTATCAGTTATAGCTGGAAAACAAGGCAAATCTAAAAACGCTGCAAGTTCAGACATCTTGTTATGCACATCTTCATATACAGGCCAAGACTGAAAGACAAAATAGGTTTAAAGTTTCTTCTGTTTTGCTTTTTTTTTACTCCAGCATCTTTAGCTAACCTTTCTTAATTCAAATTCCACATTATTGTTATATAGAAACGTTCATGCCCTTCCCTGAGCACTTCTACAAGCATTGGTATTATGCAGGATGCTCTTTGGAGCTGGAACTTTGTTCATGACATGTGTTTGTGAGGCAGCAAGCATATTTTTGGGTTCTCAAAAAAACCCTAAAGCACCGCAAATGGAGCATGACATCTCAAAGGTAGACAAATAACCAAATCTGTAGCTCTGTAACATAACTTCATACAAAAATCCCTTTCAAATTTCCATACCTATTCATAGAAATAATCTTGCAACTGTCTCCTTTCAAATCTATTAACCACATGAAGAAAAATCTCCAAGCTTCCACTGTAACATTAATTCTAGATAAAAACATTCCTTATGGTGAGACTCTGTTATTTAGTCAAAATGAGCTCAACAGGATTACCTGAGGAATAAAGAACATAAAGGGCAGCAGAATTTGACCTCATTTCTCAAGAGTAACAAGGTGGGTGAGGTAATATCTTTTATTGGACCAACTTTTGTTGGTGAGAGAGACAAGTTTTTGAGCTTACATAGAGCTCTTCTTCAGGTCTGGAAAACTTACTCAAAGTGTCACAGCTAAACGCAAGGTAGAACAGATTGCTTAGTATAAGTAGTTCACATATATTTCAAGGGACCATTCAAGGTAAAGTGTCCTATTACCATCCCTCCAGTCACAAGGAGACAAGGACGGTTGTTCGTGAATGATAGATTTTTGTAATAAGCCATAAATCCAGTGTGTCTATTCAGTGTATGATTTTTAGCGTCTAGCAAACTTATGAATTTAAGCTCCCAGGCTCATCTTTTGAAAGTGTGCAGGTTTCCTTGGGGGATGAGGACTGATAGGTCAGATATTGAATGATCACGTTGCGAAAAGTGGTCACCCACAGATGGGGTATTTTTGTCTTTCATCATTTTGCTGTGTGAGTTTATTCAAGAGTGTGGCAATTATGGGTGTAACCACATATAGTTACTATTTGAGCATTTAGTGCACTGGATGAGATACACCACGTTGTGATAGGCATGTCTTGAAAGGTGTGTTCATCATTGTAATAGTGGAGCTATGTCTGCAAGTTTTGCATCTGTTGTTCTGGCATGGTCTGGTGCCGCTTTGAGTTGACATGTCCTGGTCTATGGGGACTTTGCTTCTGATGATGAGTATGGAGAGGTTGGTGGGGTGTTTGAAGGCCAGAAGAGGCGGTTCAGGAAAGATTTCTTTCAGGATGGTGGTCTTCATTGAGTATGGATTGTACTTGTTTGATAATACCCCATATGGGTGCCAGTGTGGGGTGACAGGTGACAACTGGAGGTGGGTGATTGGAGAGGGCTTTATTTCTGTGTTGAAGCAGGTTCTCTTGGGTATTTGGGTGACCCATTCCATGATGTGATCTACTTCTCTGATGGAGCATCCTTGTTCGGTGAAGGTGGTTTTGATTGTGTTACGATGTATATCCTAGACTTCCTCCTCAGAGCATATTCTCCGGATCTGAGTGTCTTGCTGTAGATAACAGATTTCTTTGTAGGTTTCGGATGGTTACTGGATGTATGAAGGTAGGGATGGTGATCAATGGGTTTCTTGCATATATTTGTTTCTAGGGTTCCATTGTTGAAGCTGCTCATGGTGTCCAGGAAGTTAATGCTGGTGTGGGACTGTTTCAGAGAGAGTTTAATGGACAGGTGGTGGTTAATAAAGTTGTGGTGAAAATCTAAGAAGGAGCTGAAGTCGTCTGTCCAGTGGATGAAAATATCTTCGATGCATCTCTGGTGCACCATTGGTTTCATGGTGCATTTGCCCAGCAATTCTTCAAGGTAGCCCATAAAGAGGTTGGCATTTTGGAGCGCCATCCTAGTACCCATGGTTGTTCCCAAGATTTGGGTAAAATGTGTTTTGTTGAATGTAAAATTGTTATGGGTGAGAATGAAATGGATGAATTTGGCGATGTGTCTGGGCTGGATATCTGAGAGTTGTCCATTGTCTTGTAAATATTAGAGCAGGCAGCTAAGCCATCATTGGAGGGATGATCGTGTACAGGGAGGTGACCTCCTGGTAGTAAAGATGGTGTTCTGAGGAAGGTTGTGAATATTGTGAAGTTTGTGGAGGAAGTTAGTTGGAAGAAGCTAACCCTTTGTGTGATGAGTGGTTTGAGGATGGTTTCTATGAGTCCCAATATTCCTTCAGTAGGAGTGCCGTGGCCAGATATTATCGGTTCCCTTGTTTGTGTATCTTGGGAAGCATACAGACGTTTGTGGAGGATGAGTATGTAGAATCTCTTGGAGTTGTTTGAGGAGGGGGGATTTGATGAGATTCTTAAATTCCTGTGTAAATTGTTGTGTGGGGTCTTCTTTGAGTTCTTTATAGTAGGTGGACTGAATAGTGACAGTGGATTTATGGCTTATTGCAACAATCTATAATCCACTAAAAACCCCTCCCCTCCCTGCAGCTGCTTCTCCTCCCCCTTTCTTTCCTCAACTATTTAATGTTTCTGGCCCCAATTCAGCAAAGTAGTAAAGCATGTGCTTATGTCTATTCATATTTAGCAAAATATTTAAGCACATACATCACTATAGTGTCAATTTTAAGCACACGCTTAATTCAGTGCAGGCTTTACTGCTCTGCTGAATAAGAATGAACTGCTAAACTGGGACCTCTATTTTTGAAATCTTATAACCCAGGTTAAAAAAAAAGCCGAATAATTATGCTACCAACAACAACTGAAATTCAATAGTCTCTTTTTGTTCCATTATGTGATGTTTAACTCTTTTAATATAGGCAATTCAACTGTCATTCACACTTAACAGTTTTGAATATTTGCTAACAGTATTTCCATTTTTAAAAAGTGCCCCAAGCCTGCAATTAATTAAGAATATGCTTAACTTTAAGCATGTGAATAGTTCTATTGAAGTCACTTAAAGTTACAGAAGTAACTTTTATAACTGTTTTCTAAACAAACAGTGATGAAATGTAATCTACTCACCTGTTAGACTTACCTTGAGAAAGAAGAAATACATGTGTTACCAGAATACTACAAAAATCAAGGTTTACAGTCCCCTCCAATCATTCTAAGAAACAATTCATCAGCTTTACAACAGAATAATCGTTGAACAAAATTTAAATAGTCAGGATTTCAAGTTTGAAATTATATACATTCTTTGATATCCCACTGATTTTGAAATTTATGCATCATTTTCCTAGTGTTCTGAAAGAGCACACTGGAAAATCAACAAATAATGCAAATAGATACAGTGCAAAAATAATATACTTAATTAGATATAGTGGAGACAGAACTTTCCCATGAGACTAAGAAATGCAAATACTGATCTGCCTAAATATCAATCAGGCCCCGTGTTAAAGATGAAAAGTGAGGTACATAAGGAATTCATAGCAGCTTAAATGCATCATTTTTAAGTCACTAAACAAACATCACCACTGTTATTTAAGCATTCACGGTACTTCACAAAAGATTATAAGTAGCTTTTGTTCAATTTTTTCAAACCAAATTCAAGGTTTAATTTTATGATAAGATGGTAAAGATCAGCTTTTTAAGTGATGTAAAATACTACTCCCTAAATAATAGTATTTTGTTTGCAGTGAAAAACACCACCACAAATAGTTCAAAAGGATACCAACAACCTAAATACTACAGTGTGGCCTCTTTTTAAGGATGTTTTTGAGTATAAATAGACAGGAGTGCTCTCCCCTGGGTATGTGTTCACAATGGATTTAATAGAATTGGGACATACAATACACTGGGAGGGGCACACTAATTCATGACAAGGCCTCCCCAACCAAACCCTTCTCTTGATTCCTCCTTCCTCCTGTGGTTTAAACCCCAACAGCCTGTTTACATTTACTGTAACACTCAAGTATTTTTCCTATTACAAAGGGATAGATAATTACAATGCTAGATTGAGTGACTTATGCATTGCCAAAAGCACATAGTAGTGATTCTGTTTTCTTCATGTCTGTAAATAGCAAAATTAAAGTTAAACAACACACACAATTTTCTATCAGGAACCTAGTTAGTTGAGGATGACAATGGCTGTAGAGAGCTCTATCATTCAGAAAGCACTGAAACATCTTAATCACAACAAACATTTTACACAGTTTAATGTCAAAAGAGCTATTAGCTTTTGCAGTGAAGTCCCCATGTGAAAATTTTCACTCCTACTTCTGCAGAGTCTACCACACAAATAATGTATTCATGTTACAGTAAAGGGGGGTTTATAAAATACGTTCCCATATCTGGATACACATACATTCACTGTAGACAAACTTATAGCAAACGTCAAACTGCCCTGCCTCAAAACTCATCACCTTCCACCCATCTACTTGTGTGTCCCTCCCCAGAAAAAGCCTGATAGAACAAGTCATCCTGAAAGTCAACCAAGACAGGCTTCGATTAACCAACAAGGGAAGCAAGTTTTGGAGTCACGGCCCTCTCAACTGAGAATGCCCTGCCTCCAGCACCTCATGATTAAATTCAGGGAAGGTGTGGTTGGAGATGTTAGATCATATGCCTCAGATTACCCAAGTATAATTTTTTTTGTTACCTAATCCCAAAGTTTCTCTTCACATTACATATTCTCAGCTGTGTTTGTGCTAAATATTTACAAGGGCTCCTCTATCCATCTCATTCTGGAATTACTGTGCTTTTGTTTACTGTTCCCAGTCCTTGGGAGTCCCCCAAACAGTTTGTAACTCTCAGCTACAAGTTCATGACGGCATTTTAAAATTCCAAGGATCAAAGACAGAAGAACCATTATAATACGTATGACAACCAGCTAGTAGTCTTCTCATACTTTTGGCAAACTGGAGTTTTTTGAAGACTGATGTGGGAGATTCAGTGACTTGTCTGTATGTGGATGCAACTGCTCTTGGGCAACTTCTTGGTCTTTGAAAGGTCCTTTAT